ACTCATGGGGCCCCCGGGCAATAGGGGATGATGGGTCCCCTGTGTCCTTGCCCAAACTCAAAAAAGCCTATGAAAAAGGTACCAGGGGCATCTCATGGGGCCCTCTACTGACCCCGGGCCCTCGGGCAGTGCCCGAGTTTCCAAATTGTCAGTCCGCCCCTGGTCACTATGCCCTGTGAGTAGGCACTGCTGTGTCACACATTTCACAAAGCCCGCCTTCTGAAGTACAGAAGTGCTGAGGAGGAGGAGTTTCTGGAGGTGGAGTCAATACAGCAATCACTGCATGTAGGCAGCAAGGCACCATGGGATATGTAGTCCCTAGAAATAAAAAGTAAACCGCAGAGGAGAAGCTGCAATGCAATGCATGCAGGGAATCCAGGAATTTGTGGAAAGAGATGGCAGCACTCAACATGAAAGGAGATTTTTAAATGAGCTTAATTTGGATCATCAATAACCATCATTTGTATCGTAATTACAATACCGTGGTTATAAAATTAAAGTGTATGCTGTGACCATAAGAACTCCTTTAAAAACTAAAACACTTATGAAACATTAAACACAAAACACGCAAGATGATTTCTGCTAAACGTATGACTTTCACATGTACAGTGTATAGAAAAAAAAACCCCACTGAGAAGACTGTAGTACCACAATAAAATTTCGCAAAAAAAAAATTACAACTGTGGCAAAATGAAAGGTTTCTTGCACACAGTACTGATTTATGAAGATCAGATATTACCGGAAGAAAGATCCTAAATATAAATACAACAATGGGCTGTAAAGTAGGAGTGTAATCACATATGTAAATGTGTGTATTCGTGCATAAACGTACACACATGTAAAAATTCTTCAAGCCGGTTTTTTGGCAAGGGGGTACGATATACTTGCGTAAATGTGTGTACACACCTAACATAGTGACCAGCAACACAGATTGTTGCGTTTTTTTCCTTTTTTCTTTTTACTGATCTATATGCAGTGCAAGTTTATACACCTGTCTGTACAGGCTCATTAAAAACAATAGCCCTCATTTAGGGAAGTAAAAAAAAAAAAAAAAGGCCTGGGTGCCTACAATTAGTGGTGTGTTTGGTGTCCATGTACAAGCACATACAAAGTCCCCTCAGTTTGTGTTCCTATTAGTCCATGGCATCCGAGGTTAAAATAGAATGGACATCCAGGGAGACTTCTGATATAAAGCAAATTCACAAATGCTTGTTCAGAATATCTACATGGCTCTAACACGTGTTGCACTTCCACATTGCTGACAATAAATCTTTGCTTTCCTGCTGCCTAGAAAACAGTCTGTATGAAAAGCTTTGGCCAGAGGACCAGATTTGTGTCTATGGCATATAGGTTGTAACCTACAGTGTCTCCAATCCATATATAAAGGATTTTATTTTCCAACCTGCCACCACCACCTGCACTCTGCATGTTATCCCTGTCACCAATGAGGTCATACCTCAATTATCCACCTGCCAAGTATATTTACTGTGAGCAGGCAGAGGCTCAGTCATGTACATAACTGGCCGCCTTCCGGCTTTGGGGTGCATTACCTCTGACGAACCATGCTGTGATTGGACACAGTGTGACTTTGGCAGCAGATTTCAGCCAATGATTTTGGCTGAAATCTGCTAATCAGCTGTGTCCAATCACCTACAGAGTCCTGCGTGATTGGCGGTTTCTTCTCCCTGAAAAGCAGGGAGGAAAAAAACAAACAAAAAAAAAAACAAAAACAGCCAGATAAAAGTAAGAGCAGCACGCATTACACATTGTTAGGCACAGTTAACCCCTTGATTGCCCCTAGATGTCAACTCATTTGTAGTCAGTGTTAATTAGTAGTGTCAGTGTACAGTATTACCACTGATCACTGTATTACTGTCGATGTCAGTGTCAGTTAGTGACCCTTTTAGCCAGTGTCTGTTAATGCCATATTGCCTGCCACCCTATCACTGTCACAGTATAAGTTGCTGATCAGAGTCATTGAAGTACAGCGTCTATAGCTGTGTAAGTTCCAGCATATATACACACCACCATAGTCACAGTACAGCGTCTATAACTGCATAAATACCAGACTGCATGTACCACACACATACACATATACATATATACACCAGTTTGTAGACACTACAACTTTAGCACAAACCAATGAATATACACTTATTGGGGGTTTTTTTAAGCAAAAGACATGCAGCAAAATACATTTTGGTCTACATTTGAAGAAATTAGATTTTTTTAATTGGATACATTTTGTGTTTTTTTTTGTTTATATAATAAAAAACCCAGTGGATCAAATTCTACCAAAACCTTGATTTGTGTGAAAAAATGATATACATTTCATTTGGGTACAGTGTTGCAAGACCATGCAATTGCCAGTTAAAGTAGCAGTGCTGAATAGTAAAAAAAAACAAAATTACTTGTCATGAAGGGGGTAAAACCTGCTGAAGGTCCTAAAGCCTAACTCCAGGATTCATTTCAATTTGAATAGTTCATTTGGGCCCAAGCAAACGATTTACACTACTAAGATATGCACTAGCTGTCAGTGCTATATAAAATGGGTTGTAGCATACAGAGCTGTGTTCCACAAGCAGTACAGGGACTTTCCCATCTCGTACCCGGAACAAAATCGATTTGGGCTAGACATTGCTCAGCCACTCACAGGAAGCTTTGTACTTTTATGAATGAATACAAGGCTCCCTCTAATTGACACCTTCGCCCACCTCTGCCAATCAAACGAAGCCTTGCATTCATTCATTCAAAAAATACAAATCTTTCTGTGAATTGCCGAGTAGCTCAGCCCAACTCAAATTTTGTACCAAGAACAAGCCATCCCAGTACCTCTGCTGGAACACAGTGCTGCATACTGTATGTGTACAGGAAACTGAAAACCCATTTGGGCCTGAAGCCTCATGGAGTTTCATGCCTTTCCCTGTCAAAGTAATCACTTCCTCTGGGTTTTACATAAATTCTCTTTTCTTAACTGAAGTATGCCTGAGAGTTGTAGATACTGTTAGATTTTATCAAGTTTATCCAGTTGGGTCTCTTGGGAGACCAGAAAGGGAAGTTATACAAGTCTTGGTAGAAATCTAAGAAAGTCTGAGTCGCATGACTTCTGGACTTCTATAGTCCTGTTTGGTTTCTATGAAGGGGATACAAGTCTTCAGTCTCTACCCAGAGTGCTTGTGCTAAGGCTTTCCCCTGTTTATTACTATACTCATACCAGGTCTCACAGCTTTTAACCTACTGGGCTTTAAATTTGTGTACTAGCACTTCATTTCGTTGAGGGAAAAAAAGTTTAAATTCTATGGTTACAGATCATAACTTTTTCAATATAATTCTTGATTTAAAAGAAGCAGGGCTGTCACCACTGGGTTTGCATGGCGTTCTTTGTTGTTCAGTAATACCGTGGCTGGTGGGAGGGGCGTATGAGGCGTGGTAGTATCTTCCTGTGAACGCCATAGCACTTGGCCTCAACTCTTCCCTTAAGAGCCCTCCCAATCAATGAACTGACACTTGGGAGTGTTTATGTAAACGTTAAACTGTCTTCTTGGGTGGTATTGTGGGGATAGATACTGTACATAGGCTCTAGGAATGGGCACTCCTAGGCTGATTGCATTTGCATGCATTCCACCCTGGGTAACAGCCACACATGATGCAGAGACTAAACGAATGACTGTACAGAAAGCAAACGGCTCAACATGATGAGCCAGGGACATGATCAGCAGAAAAGCGCTAGATAAAACTTTTAGTTGTCCACTTCAGAAATGAGTTGGGCTCAAATACTTAGCTGCAGTATTAAAAAAAAACAAAACATCATGATGTATAGAACTCAAAATGTGCAGGGACACTAGACTTCTCAATTTTAGCACAGGAAATGGCCTTTTACAAGTCTGCAAGGAGGAAGGTTGGGCTGAAGTTCAGCTTTAAGGCAACACTATCTTAACTTTAAAATGAATTTGAGACACAAATTTAATGGCAGATTGAAAACCATACAGTGAACCTGTCAAATACATCATAACAGTCAACGAATTCTGCCAAAATAGCCAATATCAGGGAATGATAATCTAAAGCCTTCAAGAACGAGAAGTGTGTGACTAAATGACCTGGGCTACAGCAACTGTAGCATTTGCAAAAGTTAAGGGGGGGGAAAAAAAAAAAAAAAAAAAACAAAACAAAACAAAAAAAAAAACCACACACAATTAGATTTATACTTAGAAACCATTACAGAATGAAGATCAGAAACTGGAAGCTATCCAGTGGGTAAAGTCTAGCTTGCTGAGTCTAGAGGTGCACGTGCAACTCCCTGACTAAACCTATCCGAATCAACTGAAAGTGTAAAATCAAATATCTTACCTGTAGCTGGAGAGTGTGACGCAAGATAGTCTCTTCTAGAGCCTGGATCCACTTTTCTCTCTCATCCGCATCACGGGCTAAAGCAGAAGACCAAAAAGAAAAAAAAAAAAAAAAAAGTTAGATTATTTAAAATATGTAACTAAGTGGGACTACAGCCTGAAGATATGACAGTCTACAATCTGCAAGAATTTCAAACACACAATAAAGCTGGCCATAAATTGCTCTGCCTCACCCCCAGCCATTTGCCCGATTGAACACTTCTATGAGGGTGTTAAGAGGTGCAACTAAGGGCCACCAATGAGCACATCGAACATCAGAAGTGGTCATTCTCTCTGGCAGAAGTTTTGCAACTTGTAAAAATTAAAGACATTAGCCATGCAGGTTCTTTTTGTTAGGCAATAAATGAAAATCAGGTACATGATGTTGTCTCCACTCCTGTCATTCTCTGGGAGACAAAAGCACGTTTCGAGCCAATCAAAAACAGTAAAAACAGTAGAAGATTCCATGCAAGAACAGCACTAAAAAAAAATAAATAAATAAAAAAACACAATATACAGGATATCATGAAAATATCCAAAATGAAGGAGCAACTAGAAAAGTACCGTATTTTTTGCTCCATAAGAGGCACTTTTTTCCCCCCCAAAAAAGGGGGGAAAATGTCAGTGCGTCTTATGGAGCGAATATGGAGCGGCCGGTCCGGTATTTCCAGCGCCGCCGTGTCAGAATACCGGGCCGGCCACTCAGCTCTGCAGCGGGACCTTATGGAGATGACTGCTGACCTTTGGGGAGGTGGGGAGCGGGTACCTGAATTTGACAGGTACCCGCTCTTACTTCCGCGGAGTTGTTCTTTGACCTTACCTGTTCCTCTATCCAGCGGCGTGCTGTCTTCCCAGCTTCTGTAGTGTGAGCGCAGGGCTTGACAGCTGGGTGCCAAGTGTGCATGCGCAAGAAGTGGTGCTTTGTGTGAATGGTAAGGCGGTACCTGGGACACATGACAGATCCCAGAAGCTGCCAGATCAATCACAAAGCGCAAGTGCTTCTCGCTCATGCGCACTGGTCTGTGCTGTCCGCAGTCTCTGGTCATCCCTGTACTGTGTCCGCAGTCTCTGGTCATCCCTGTACTATGTCCGCAGTCTCTGGTCATCCCTGTACTATGTCCGCAGTCTCTGGTCATCCCTGTACTATGTCCGCAGTCTCTGGTCATCCCTGTACTATGTCCGCAGTCTTTGGTCATCCCTGTACTGTGTCCGCAGTCTCTGGTCATCCCTGTACTATTTCCGCAGTCTCTGGTCATCCCTGTACTATTTCCGCAGTCTCTGGTCATCCCTGTACTATTTCCGCAGTCTCTGGTCATCCCTGTACTATTTCCGCAGTCTCTGGTCATCCCTGTACTATTTCCGCAGTCTCTGGTCATCTCCTGTACTATTTCCGCAGTCTCTGGTCATCTCCTGTACTATTTCCGCAGTCTCTGGTCATCTCCTGTACTATGTCTTCAGTCCATTAGTTCAGAATTTTTTTTTTCCCCTGTTTTCTGCCTCTAAAACCTGGGTGCGTCTTATGGAGCGAAAAATACGGTAAGTATAAAAGATAAAATATGGTAGGACACCAGTTCACATCTGCCCAGGTGGCACCCGTGGTCCCATGCAGCCACCTTGTTCAAATCAATGACAGATGGATGACCGCACAGGTCTTCTTGTGCGTTCTTCAGTGTACATCTGTGCAGAACCGATGCTAAGCCCTGAACACAGTCGGTAATGAGAAAAGCTGCAGTGTTTGCTTCCATTTAGTTGATGGGCTTTTTGAGACTCCTGTGAAAAATAGTGAGCCAATCATACATGCAGAAAATTACATTTCTGGGATCAACGGCATACAGAACAACCCTGGGCTGCCATATTTCAAGGAAGGACTTTTTGAAAATTATATATTAAAAAATAAAAAAGGTAATTTTAATTACATTAAACTTTAAAATGACCTGTGTAGCTATATCTATTTATCTATAGTACATACATACATACATACATATGTACCGCTTGCTACATGTAGACTGTGTAATCCTCAATAGCTTGGTTATGAGTCTGACCGATGCAGAAATATACATCAGCTCAAGCTATGTTTAGGCTCTCTAAGCCCCTTATAGGTAATGAAACTGCGTTCACTGAATAAGGACTCCTCTCTGCTGTACTGGTAGCCTCATTACATTAACCCAGATCCATGAGAATCAAGCAGTTTAGTCCACATCATTAAATAGATGATCAATGTATCTTGACCTGAACAGTGGAGGGAAGGGAAGACATATACAGTAAATACCAATAACCCAAATGATGGGGCACTATTCCTCCTCCTGACACCACTGATGGGGCACTACTCCTTCCATGGACACCAATAAGGGGGCTCTATTCCTGCCGCTGACATCAACTATGTAGATCAACTGATCTACTGGCAGGATCACCAGATATTTAAGCTATCCTACAATGAAGCCCTATTGGCATTCTGCCGATAGAAAAAATTTAGCAGATACAGGTGACTGTGTGTACTGCAGATGTGAGGGGAGGGGGGGGGGGCAGCTGAGAAAGGCAGGAGAGGAGCAGTGTATACAGTGACTGGCTCTCGCTATATATCAGTGCCAGTTTTTAAATGTAATTACTGGCTTTTTATTTTTCTTCACTATAGCTCAGAGAATCAGCTGTCACTTTCCTACCAGCTAAAAGAAACAAAAAAGGTTCCTTTTAGTTTATTTCCCTGAATAAAAAAGAAACAATGTTACCTTTTAGTTTCTTACCCGAGATAAAAGAAACAAAAAAGGTTCCTTTAGCTCCTCGAAAGTGACAGCTAATTCTGTGAGCTATAGTGAAGAAAAAAAAAAAAGCTGGCAATTCGGCACAGACATATAGTAACAGCCAGTGAGGAAGCCTCTCTGTATACACTGCTCCATCACTGTATACACTGCTCCTCTCCTGCCCCCTCCACTGCTCCTCTCTCCCACCCCCTTCCCTCTAAAAAGAGGACCTATCACTCATATGCGATCACATGGGGGACTATTGGTCCCCTATGTGATAGCAATAAAATAAGTTAAAAAAAACAAAAAAAACATGAAAAGTAGAAAAAAAAAATTGGAGCCTCCCCACATACGCATACATTTTAGTTTTGGTTCGGTTTTCGGCCACATGCATTCTGAATTTTCAGTATCGGTTGCAGCACCAGAATTTTCATTTAGGTGCACCACTACTATAGATCTACTTTAAGAACTTCTGACTCACAGATTAGAGTAGATTTTATTTATAAGATTATGCTGAAATCTACCATACAACTTTTAAAAGTAGAACTATAGGCAAAACTTTTTTTTTTCCCAGATAGCGTAATGGAGTGTTAATAACCTCTGTCAGGTTTTTCTGGTATTCTGTGTCCCACTGAGGAGATTTTTCTTCATGTCCTGTCCCATAGCCAAAAAAGGATGTGAGAGAAAATTCCTGTAAATTAAAGTGAATTTCTTGGGGCCCCCAGGTCAACAGAACTAGTGTCTCCAATGGAAGATTTCCCCTCTGTTACTTTTCTGGGGGCAACGCAAAATTTGGGATTATCTTCTGCTTTCACTTTCAATAATAATGGTCAACAGGACAAATAGAGAGTGAATCTCCCTAAAGGGGGCACATCTCACAAAAAAATCCTAATAGGTGTCCTAATCCATCTTCGCTTTATCCAAAACTAAAAAGGTTTGCATTTAGTAATATTTTAATGTTCTAATCCAACACACACAGTAGCATCTGCTGGGCTCTAACCTAACCAGAAACACCCCAAAAAAGATGAAATCTCAAATGTACAGCCATAGATAAACATTTATTACAAAAAAAGGACTATTTAGGCTAATTTCCCCAAAAGAATGATAAAATAAAAGGCCACTTTAACATAGTAAATGTGACAGTGCTGCCAAACACTCCCTTGGCCATTTATAAACACAAAAAAGAGGAATTAGTATTCTGATGCTGTTGAGTGGCGTCTTGTTTACTTCTCAGCTTATTGATATCAGCAAGAGCTTGACTTCCATGTCATCCTCCCTGACACACCAGTCTAATCATGTACATTCAGCTGGATTCTGGGGGCCGCACATGTCATTTACAGGTCTGTCGATGAATAAAGAAAACCGGGGAAGCTTCTTATTTTCAGATATTTAGTGGTTAACCTACATTTGATAAGATTCCTTTTTGAGATGCTGATGTCAAAGTCAGTACCATTTCTACCAAATATAATATTGCCTAGCCCAATACCATGTACAATGCTAAGCTGTTACAGATTCTGATATTACCCCCATAGATATTAGAAATATGTGATGGGAGAGAGTAAGAATTATTTTCAAAGTTAAGCCATCACATAGTTACAGAATCCAAAACATGTGGGTGGGAAGCCTCAAAAAAGTGTTTGAAAAATAAAAAATTCTCTCTCTCTATATGTACTCTATATTGCCAAAAGTATTGGTCGGCCGGCCTTTACACGCACATGAACTTTAATGGCATCCCAGTCTTAGTCCGAAGGGTTCAATATTGAGTTGGCCCCGCCCTTTGCAGCTATAACAGCTTCAACTCTTCTGGGAAGGCCGTCCACAAGGTTTAGGAGGGTGTCTATGGGAAGGTTTGACCATTCTTCCAGAAGTACATTTGTGAGGTCAGGCACTGATGTCGGACAAGGCGGCCTGGCTCACAGTCACCGCTCTAATTCATCCCAAAGGTGTTCTATCGGTTTGAGGTCTTGGTATGCTGACCCCTTAAGCGTTCCCTTCACTGGAACTAAGGGGACAAGCCCAACCCCTGAAAGACAACCCCACACCATAATCCCCCCTCCACCAAAACTTTACACTTGGCACAATGCTGTCAGGCAAGTATTGTTCTCCTGGCACCCGCCAAACCCAGACACATCCATCGGATTGCCAGACAGAGAAGTGTGATTCATCACTCCAGAGAACATGTCTCCACTGCTCTGGAGTCCAGTGGCAGCGTGCTTTACACCACAGGATCCAACGCTTTGCATTGCACTTGGTGATGTAACTGCATGTTGCTCAGCCATGGAAACCCATTCCATGAAGGTCTCTATGCACTGTTGTGCTAATCTGAAGGCTACACGAAGTTTGGAGGTCTTTAGCTATTGATTCTGCAGACAGTTGGTGACTTCTGCGCACTGTGCGTTTCAGCATGCGCTGACCCCACTGTCATTTTATGTGGCCTACGACTTGGTGGTTGAGTTGCTGTTGTTTCCAAATTGCTTCCACTTTGTTATAATACCACTAACAGTTGACTGTAGAATATTTCGTAGAAAGGAAATTTCACAGATGGACTTATTGTACAGGTGGCAACCTATCACGGTACCACGCTTGAATTCACTGAGCTCCTGAGAGCGACCCATTCTTTCACAGATGTTTGTAGAAGCAGTCTGCGTGGCTAGGTGCTTGATTCTATACACCTGTGGTCATGGAGGTGATTGGATTCAGGTGTTCCATCTATGGAACTATAACTATATCTATCTATATCTCGAATATGTTCTCGTCCCTTTAAGGCAGGAAAAAACTGCATAGGGATCTTGTAATCTTATTTAGTTCTTTCCATGTGAAATACCAGGTTGATCCTGCCTGTAAACTGACTACAGCAGTCATGGCTGCCATTCTTTGATAGCGTGGTCAGTTTATATCTTTTGTCATCGGGCTCTCGGTACAGCATGTCTGTATCTCCCTCTCTCCCTTCCTGCCTTTCCATGGTCTGTGTAAAGCCACTGGGCCTACTTAAGCGTACATCCATGTGAAGGGCCGTGTGTGCCCACACAGGACATCAAGGTGTTCCTTGTATACAAGTGCAGGCAGTTCCAGTCATGTCTTTAGAACACAGTGGCTGCTTGGACAAGCTCCCAATTTAACAGTTGTGCAGGTGCGTGTCCCTGAATGCAAACAGTGTGCATTTGGGGACACACATAATTTGTTTACTTAAAAACATGTTATACTTACCTTCCTTGTGCAATGGCTTTGCACAAAGCAGCCCGATCCTCCTCTTCTGGGGTCCCCCGATTGCACTCCAGGCTCCACCTCTTCAGTGAGTGCTCCCATGGAAAGCCACTTTCCATGGGGGCACTGTGTGGGCTCCCTCCTTAGCAACTCTGTCTGTGTCTATTGACAGAGTGTGCAGCTTGGTCCCGCC